ATATAAAATATACATTTTTTTACTGATTTTCAGAAAAATGAGACTGAAGGAAGACTCTAATCTGTATACAATCAGTTTATATTTATTTTTCCCATTTTCAATGTTGCAAACATTGGAGTATTTTCTTTCTAACTGGTATGCTGTGTAAAATGTTAAACTACGGAATCTAAAATGTGTAGTATATTATAGTGCATAGTATTAGCTCAACAAAATAGTTTATAAGTAAAATATCTTTTAGTTATTTTTGCTTCAGGAATCTTTAAACATACATCTCAATACCAGTATTTAAACTTTCAGAGGCTTTATATTGCTTTATAACAGTTGCTTTCCATATGAGATATTTATCTTTTTAATTAGAGCTTTCAAAGGAAAATTTTGTAGGAAAAATTAATTATTGGAATATTTGGACTGTTGTAATTCCAGTCTTCAGCATTTTTAGAAAAATGCAGCAAAACTTTGGGGTTTCCCATATGTAGCTTGTGTTTGGTGTGTGCTGATTTAAACCACCTATTACATGTAATAAAAATAAAATGTTATTTTAATGTAGGGCTGTGGTGATACATGGTATAAGTTGGGGGTTTTTTTGCTCAATATCCACCTATTGTTTACATTTTGTTTTGGGGCAGGAGGCTATTAGGTTATTTTTACAAAGAATTACTTTGGAAAAATAGTAGATTTTACATGAATGTGAAGCAATCAAAGCAGTTTTCAAGATGAATACAAATTTTGCAGATGGATATTTTGTCCCTTGTATTGTGTTTGTAGTTACAAGTTTTCCTGTTAGAAGAAGGCTAACAATAGAAGACCATTAAATTTTCCAAATCATCTGTCTGAATGGAAGAACTGGTATGAATTTTAGGACTGAACTCATCTTCTTTTGTTGGCCTTCAGATGTGTGGTGGTCAAGCAGTAAATTATCTGGTTTACAACTGGCCAGGAAAGGCTGAAAGCTTTTGATTTTGATTTTTCCCCCCCCTCCTGTGTTAGATAGATCTGTCCAATTCCTTTCCCATCTAAATCAAGTCCTTCTGTCCTGCCTGTCTCTGGGCTCCATGCAGTCAAAGGGGGAAAACTGTAAACTGCTCCGTGGACAGTGTTGAGGTTCTTTATCGAAACGTGTTCAAGGAAGGAGAGGCTTAAGGGCTGAGTGTTGGCCCTCAAGTCTAAGTCAGTTGAACTGGGGCATCCCTTTTTTGGTGGACTGTTGGAGGTGTATTCTGTGTTCTAGAGTAATCTGTAGCTAAAGGAAAACTTAGTCCAAAAGAGACTTCAGTGACCCAGCACCTGCAGAGCCAGAGAGCTGCCACCTCTGTTGTACACAGCAAAAGGAGTGTGCCAAGGTGACACATGGACTTCACAGGTGTTTGCTTGTGACAGATGCATCTGTAAAGTGGACTTGACTGAAGTGGAGCCTAGCACAGGTTTGAATGAATGGGAGAAGTAACAGGTTAAGTCTGCTCATCATCTTAACTAGGAATAACTGTGCACTGTTGGTAAATGCAAGGCCATTTTCATTTTTTGATTTTAACCACTGATTTTCTATGGTTAAACCCTGTATAAGTGCAGGATTCATCTTTACTCTGTTTAAACTGCATGATTAACTCAGCCCGCCATGACTGGTTGTACTTTCAATCTGCCTCCCAGGGAAGGTTCGGAGAAGAGCCAGTGCTCATCAGCTGTGCAAGATGTTTAGTGGGGAGCCCATGAGGAAGCAGAGGCCACAATGGTCTGTTAGGATGAAGCAGGCTTATACTGCAATGGGAGAAAGAGGAAGTAAAAAAGAGCAATTAGGAAAACACTGAGAGCTGCTGATCAAAAAGTAGGAGATATATTTTTTTAACCCGTATTCACTTACCCTACTTCTTGTTCTCTGTCCTAAAGATCATCAGAAAAGGAGATTGTGAGATTTGCCCGGTCATGCCAGTGTAGGAAGAGGATCCCTTAAGTGTGTGGTTGCATCCAGTGTAAGTTTAACTGGGACAATGCTGCCACCAAAAGGCACACTCAGCTGTTACCTTCTTGGCTTCTGTACTTCAGTGTGAGACTTGCTCAGCCACAGTGTCAGGGTAAGCTGTGCTTGTGAGTCAGCACACAACAGCACTGATTCAGAGTCCATGTCATTCTCTTGCAGCAGGTAATGCGTTAAAATGTCTTACAAGGGGCACCTCAGAAAAACGTTTCAGTTGTCAGTGATTTCTGAAGATACTTTGTTCACTACTTAACTATGTCATGGTTCTATGTGGAGGCCAAATATCCTCCTAAGCTCATCAGTTCTTTCTGCTCCACCTTCCTGTCAAGTACGAAGTGACTAGCATCAGTGTCTTGGGATGTCTCGGCCAAGTTTGAAGGAGGGCCATGTCTGAGGCACAATGCTGCATTTGGTGCACAGCAACAGAAGTTGTGACGCAGTGTTCAGACATTGTTTATTATGCATAGGGTGTAATAAGTATAGAAAACAGGGTAAAATATTCTGGATCGTAGCGGCCATCTTAAAAGAATGTGTGTTCATCAAGTCTATGTTGGGATGGATATACCTAAAAAGATACATTTTGATGCATGTGAGACTTTTTTTTTCTCTACAGACACAAAGTTTGTATCCTGAACTTTGTTTTCAGTTGTGCTCCAGTTTTTAAAGAAAAAGAAGAAAGGGTGGGGTTGAGTCAGAAGAACTGTTTCATCTTACTAGCTTGTGGCTAGCAAGAACCAGCCTCCCATCCTCTCCACAAGAATCGGAGGAAGCAGAAGCAGGAAAAAAACCCTCCTATTTTGTCACAAGTATTCCTTTTCAGCAGAGAAAACAGAGGAAACCTGGCCACTGAGATAGATGGCTTAACAACCTTCAGGACTTTTTGGCCCAAATTGCAAAGGAGCAGAGCAATCTGAGATGCCATTTGAAGAACAAAAGTCTTGGAAACTGTTTAGTGTTCTGAAAACAACTTTGCCAGAGTGGTTTTTTCTGTTAATGATATACCAGTTGAATTATCATTTGGTAAATGGGGAAGATAAATCCTTAAAAAATTGCCATGTTTCTGCAACACTGAAATTACTAAGGTGAAGGGCATGGAGTCACAAGAGTGTTGCTGCCTGTCATCATGGGTTGCAGCCTAATAACCAGATCAATATAACATTTCAAGTGATTGCTACAGCTTCTGAAATGTTGCAGTGAAAAAAAAACCCAATGCAGTGGCCTTGGGAATACTTGTCCAAGTACAGCCCAGGACAGGCAAACCCTGCTTTGGGGGAGTGGAGTGCCTCAGACTCAGCCCCAGAGGAAGGCTGCAGGAGGGGAATTTGCCTGAACAGTTCAATGCTGATTCCTCTCAGAAGAGCTTATGGATCTCTTCTGTCTGCAGACGTGCCCGTCATCTTCATTCTGAAGCTGATGTGTGAAAACTCAGTGGATGAAGTCTACATTCCATTGACAGATACTTATTTCTGGAGGTCTGGCGGGCTGAAGGGGTGCTAATTACAGCAGAGCTTTGGAAACTTGCCTGTCTTGCCTCCTCCCGCTCTACTCCAGCAGCTGGGCATTAAGCATCACTGCCCAGAGCTATCCCATTGACTATCAACTTCCCTTTCCTTGAGAGATGTTTTTTAAGGAGTGCTCTCTGAAGATAGAAGTAGCATGTCTGAGTGTACTTAGGGAGCTATTATGGGAATGGGAGAAAATGTTTCTGCACAGGGATCTCCCTCCTTTTTTTTTTTTCCCACACCCAAGGGGATATTTTTTTTTTTCCAAGCAACTCTTTATCGAGGAGGCAGTTCTTCTGACTCTTCGTTCTAGGATAAAACACTGTTAAGTGAGCTATCCATCCTGATGCAAAGTCGTTGCTGTTAGTGCATTGAACTACCACTGTGAGCAGTAATGCCTTTTAGTGGTCTAGGAAACTGATACCATTTTCTAAATGAAAAAGATTCTCATGTCCCAGGAGGGTTCCATGTAACAAATCATGAGCAGAGTACAGATATTTGTGGTATGAGTTGCAAAGACAAACATCACTTTGGGGAGATGGCAGATGGCGTCACTTAATTCCCACCAAACTCTTGGTCATCAACAGTGCAATTCAAACAAATACATAAAGACAGAGCTTGTACATTAAGGCTCCTTCCTTGGGATATTATATTCTTCTGGAATATTATTTTCTGTGTGTCCTGCCTCCCAAGCAAATGCTTTGGACCCTCAGCTATCTTATTTTTTGTGTGTTGGGAACCAGGCTCTCTGCTGTTCTTCCTGGCAGGCACCCACACCACAGGCCAGAGAAGCGCTGCCCACCTGCTGGCTCTCAGCACCCGTCTGGTCACAAAAACTGAGCTTGTGTGCAAGAGCTGATCACACCTCACACTGCGATGCTGCACGCAGAATATTGGAGAACTGCAGATGCACGGGTTGAGCAGTTAGCCCGTCGGGCTTTGTTAGGTGATTGTCTGGGAAAGTTGTGGAAGACTTCTCGTAAAGATAAGGAGCTCTGGGAAACTTCATTGGTGTAGGAGGGAGTAGAAACACTATTTTAATCTGATTTCAAGCAGTTTTTACTGAAGCAAATTCTCAAGGCAAAAGCCACATATTTGAAGGCAAAAGGAGATTGCAACGGCTCTGTCAGAATGCTGTATTTTAAAGCTTTTGCTGTTTATAGCCTTAGTGTTGGAGTTCTAAATCTTAAAAATTCTTATTTATGTTGGCATTGATCCTTACCTAAGAAGTCCTTACGACATGCAAAATAATAGATGTCTGTTCAGTTTCTGTTTTGGAAGTGGTTAAGAAGTGGCCATTAGCAGATAAATAGAAACATTTTCTTCTTTTTTACAGTAGTGTAGTAAAGTTATCCATTGTCTTTCCCTGGAGTAATAAGTGATAAATATAAAATTATGAATACTGAAACCCTAATGTAAGTGTGGTTAAACTTCTTTATGAAAATACAATTTTTCATTGTTTTTCACTGGTGTCTATGCTACCTTTTACATACTGCAATGATTTCTTTTATTTCAGAGCACTACACCCACCATGTTGCCCTGTGGGCCAGCTTTGTCCTTTGTCCGGTGTCTGGTGCGGAAGAAGGATGTCGGTGGTGAAAGTCTTGAGGACTCCAGGTTGTGCCGATGCTTGTCGACAGTGGACCTTATAGCCCTGGGAGTAGGCAGTACCCTTGGCGCTGGTGTTTATGTCCTTGCTGGAGAAGTAGCCAAATCTGATTCGGGACCTAGCATCATCATTTCTTTCCTCATTGCTGCCCTGGCATCCGTGATGGCAGGTCTCTGCTATGCTGAGTTTGGTGCTCGTGTTCCCAAGACTGGTTCTGCGTATTTGTACACTTACGTAACTGTCGGTGAACTGTGGGCTTTTATCACTGGTTGGAATCTCATTTTATCCTATATTATAGGTAAGCTTAAGAACAAACAGAGATCTCAAGGGTTTTTGAAACAGCAGATATAAGATACAGCTTTGGTTCCTTCTTTCCTGTCTCTATACTTAGCTACTATAGCTTTTTACTCCTGCTGAGATGAAATAACAAAAATAATTTGTTTAGGTTATTTCCTCCTGTGTGTCGCAGTGCATATGTAAACCGTGTCTTCAGCAGCATGAACTGCATACCTAGACTGTAAGTTATGTCAGACAGTTCAGTGATGATAAAAATAAACAAGATTTCATTGCCATCTTTGATCAGCATGAATAATTTCAGTAAAAACAACAAGCTTTTTTTTCTTGTTTTTTCCCCTGAATATACACAGCGAGGGCATTTACAGGGACCCCATCACTATAGTATCTTACTGCAATAAACTCATGATGGTTATGTACTAGCTTGTTACTAGAGCCTGATGCTAATTAAATAATGTCTATCAGGTAATACTGTAAAATATAAAGCTGACTACATCTGAATAAAATCAGTGCTTTAGCAGAGACAACTCTTTTGATTCAAAACCCCTCTCTTCCTGAGGTACATGCTCCAAGCATCCATTATATATGGATGTGTATAAGCACACCTAGTTGTATACCTAACTAAAGGACTGTTGCCCAGATCAGTACAAAATCAATATGCCCAAGTGTTGTATTGAAGTGTATTTCATGACAGGAGAGTTGTAAAAACAAGGTTGTATTTAGCTGTGGCCATATGTACTCTTCACCGCAGAAGAGTATTAATCTTAAATACTGATGTTAGCTATATATATCTTGCTAGTGATTTTGCTGAAGTGGAGAGACTTTCCTTAGTCTTCTTTCTTAAAATGCTTCTTACATTACTTTATTTAACATATCCCATATTATAACTTAAGAAGAAATGTCTTCCAGAATGACATTAGATATAAAAGATACAGAAATAATTTCTGCAACATTTTCAGAATAAATGAGGTACAAATTAGTGTATCTTAGCTGTAGAATAAAATATTACTATTTAAGTATATAGAAAAATTCTGAAATGTTAAAATTACCCAGGAAAACAAATTCACTGTTTTAATACAAGCTCTTGCTTTTTGAAAATGCAAGTAGCAACATGCTTAGTTTTACTTCTTTTTCAGTAGGAGTAACTGTATCCCATTGTATGCATGCAAACCCCTAAACACCCATCTATTTTACAAAGGTACATCAAGTGTAGCAAGAGCCTGGAGTGGCACCTTTGATGAACTTCTTGGAAAACAGATTGGTATCTTTTTTGGAACTTACTTCAAAATGAATTATCCTGGGCTAGCAGAGTATCCTGACTTCTTTGCTGTATTCCTTATATTACTTTTATCAGGTAAGATCATATATGGCTTCATTTATCTTGGTTATGATGTCAAAGTGTTTCTTACAGACAAAAATATTAAATTGTAGTTTTTGTTTTACCAAGAAATACCTTAATAACATTTAAGAAGTTCAGATGTGTGTTTCTGTATTGACACAATGACTGGGATGTAATCGTATTTTTGTATGTACTCTATTCTTTTGCTGAAGCTGAGACATGAAAGAATCACTTGTCAGTAATTTTTTTATAAAACCCATGATACAGATTGATGATAACAGGAAAATTATATGGTTCTATGTAGCTTTTATGGTTTTATTGCTGACAGATACTCTCAGAGGAACCTTGAGGTTAAGCTCTGTAGTTTGGTGATGTGACTTGTTCTCCTTGAATCGCATACAGTGGCTATTTGTAAGGGTTTTTTCCCCTCTAAACTGTTAACTTATTCAGTATAAAATAACTTTCCCCCTTTTAAGTCTTCAGAAGAGTTGTTTAGCCTAGAGCTCACTTGAGCTAAAGGATGTTCCAAGGTACTGGCATGGCCCAAAAGACTGGTTTGAAACATGAGTAAACCCTTGATGTCAACTGCACTCAGTTCTGTTTCTTTTTTGTCTTTACTCATGTATAATGTTTTTAAACCACAAAAATTGATACCAACTGCATGCTTTTTGAGGGATCACAAAGCTCAAAAATACTGCAACTTGTTTGCATGTTTGCTTTTAACAAAGCTTTTTCACAAGGAAATGTTCTTACTGCCACCAGGAATGAAGGAAGCAGTAAGTGTATTCTAAAGTGTGGTTTGTTTTCAGCTGATACTAGAAGCATTTCACTTTTCAGTAGAGGTCTCAGCCATATTTCAAAATATTTGTCATGTTCAGCCTCTCTTGAGATCAAACACAAGCATTAGCTTTTTTTTTCTGCTGGAAAGTGAAACTAAGTTATATGGGTATAACCTCCTGTTCTTCTATTCTGAGTAGCTTTAATGGACTCAGGAAAACATTTCCATTCAACATTTAGTCCTGGACTAAGTGACCAGTGCATCTGAAACTTTTATTACATCTCTGTACATTAAAAGATGAGTTCCAACACTTAGGAAGATCAGGGAATTTTCTAGACAAGGTTTAGTGCAGCATCCTGACACGTTTGTGGCTCAGAGTTTCCTCCAGGACCAGTTCAGACCCTTATGTCTCTGGGAAGAGGGAAGGTGGGAATGAATTCAGTGTATAGCTGGAACAGACCTTTCAGTTTCACCTTTTCCAAAGGAAGGAGGAAAATAACACCCCTTTTGAAAAGCAGAGCATTGAAACTCCACAAACAAAGCTATAAAAAGCTAGCATACATGCTACCACCTTTTATGTTTTCTCCATTGCTGGAGACAGTGGGGATGGCTCAGGGCTGCATAGGCAGAGCATGATTCGATTTGGAGCCACACAGAGCTGAATGATGGGAGCAGCAGATGATGTTATAAAGAAAATGTTGTGTGCTAAGCACAAGGGGAAGCACGCAGAAATCATGGTCAGCAGGTCAAGAGAGGTGATTCTCCCCCTTTACTCTGCTCTTGTGAGACCCCACCTCAAATACTGCATCCAGTTCTGGTGCCCCCACCATAAGAGGGACGTGGATCTGTTGGAGCGTGTTCAGAGGAGGGCCACAAGGACGATCCAGGGGCTGGAGCACCTCTGCTATGAGGAGAGGCTGCGGGAGCTGGGATTGTTCAGTCTGGAAAAGAGAAGACTTCGGGGGGACCTAATAGCTGCCTTCCAACACCTGAAGGGAACCTACAAGAAGGCTGAGGAGGGACTTTTTACAAGAGCGTCCAGCGACAGGACAAGGGGAAATGGGTTTAAGTTGAAGGAGAATAGATTTAGATTGGACCTTAGGAAGAAATTCTTCAGTACGAGGATGGCAAGACTTTGGAATAAATTGCCCAGAGATGTTGTGGCTGCCCCCTCCCTGGTGTTGTTCAAGGCCAAGTTGGACGGAGCCTTGAGTAGCCTGATCTAGTTGAGAGGCGTCCCTGCCCATGACAGGGAGGTTGGACTAGATGATCTCTAAGGTCCCTTCCAGCCTAGGCCATTCTATGATTCTATGATATGATCTTGTTTAAAGAATCTTTTCTCCCTATGGAAAGAACTTTTGAAAAATGTGCATACAGTGTTTCATACCACATTAGGCTGATTGAGACACTGCTTTCTTGGGAAAAACGGCGCTACAGAAAGCATGCACCTGTTTCCAATAAAAACGCCATTGGTTAAGAAATCTTGAATAGCTCATATGATAACTTCTGTGTTAGGATAAGGTAGAAAATATCTCTCAGTCAGAAATCTTTTAGACATTACTGAGAGGCTTAACATTTTCAGTTTTAATCTCTAAATAATGAGGGAAAGTGTGCATGTGATACGCTTAGAGTGCAAAGAACCTGTGAGGGCTTTCCCGTTGCATTTATTTTTTCGTGATCTGCTCGCTGCCTGCTCTTCACTGCTTACCTTTGTTACAAATCTGATGACACAGTAGGATCCTGATGGAATGTGATAGATATGTCCTGAAAAATAGAGTAAACAGATTACATTATTAATCCAGTAATAATTTTACTTATTTTATTCATCTCATGAGTAATTTTTATGTAATTAATAGTTTCTACTAATCCGTTTTTACTAAGCATAGAATTATTGTACCTGATTTTGCTCCATCTCATAAAATAGAGATGTAAATTGGAATCTCAGAAAAGCAGTAATAATTGCACAAAATATTTTTAAATACTTGACGTGTACAATTAAAAAAGCTGTTTTTTGGTTCCAATACACTTGCCAAATGCCATACTGTCAAAGAGTCTAGTAAATTTGTGCTACTGCTTCTTAAAAATATAAAATCTAGTGCTATATTTTTAGCATTATTAGTATTATTCACAGTACTAGCATGTATATCTTCCTTAAAATGCCATTTCATTAGTTTAAGGGACCATTCACATCTGTAAAATATTTTTATTTTATAGGTCTTTTATCTTTTGGAGTAAAAGAATCTGCCTGGGTGAATAAAATTTTCACTGCTGTTAACATCTTGGTCCTACTCTTCGTTATTATTTCAAGTTTTGTGAAAGGAGATCCTGACAACTGGAAAATAAGTGAAGAACATATCATAAACATTACTGCAACAAAAATGTAATATTTTTTTAAAATCAACTTACTTGCTCATATTCCAAGTAATACCCTTTTGCTTTAGTGGTATTGCAGGTAATATATCAACTAATACCTCTGTTCCTGGTATTGATAAGCTTTTTATTTCCTTAAAATATTTTTCTTTATTTTCTTGGTTGTAGATTCCTTTAAAAAATAATCTGATTTCAATATTGTCTGTAGCCATTTAAGAAGTTAGACTTCTGGTCCTCAAGCTATTTATTAACTGCAGTGAGTGTGACAGCAAGAGTTGCCTACACCATTAGTGTTTCAATGTATTTTACCACAAATGGCAAAGTAAGATGATGATTATTTGGTTTGAGTATTCTTCCATTTACTGTTATTTTTGGCTTTCTTACAAGCTTCAACATAAAAATGTCTTCTTGTGAAGTTTTGTAAAGCGGAACCTTGTCGTGAGAGCATTTTACTATGTTTTTCCAGAGTGGTAGGGGAGGAGGATGCATGTGTTTTTCCTACTAATGGCAATAAAAAATTATTTTTATGCTCTATTTTTGTTTTTTTTGTAGGAATATCTCACCATATGAGAAAGGGCCAAATATATATGGGAGTGGTGGCTTTATGCCATATGGTTTCACAGGAACATTGGCTGGTGCTGCAACCTGTTTTTATGCTTTTGTAGGATTCGACTGCATTGCAACAACTGGTATAGTATTTGTGTGTGTATATATGTATAACACGTCTTTTGTAAAACTCCGCACAAGCAACATAATCTGTCTACTGTTCTTCCTTTGGTTTTTCCTAAACCTCTTTCAGTCTGTGTAGAATGAGTCTGAGTTCGTTCCTGAATGTGTCTGTCCTTCTGGGAGGAAGGAGGAGATTTTACTTACTTTATGACCGTTCTAAAGAGAGTAACTGTTGCTTTCTAAGTGTAGAAGTGCTTAGCATACAAGTTTTCTACCCAAATCATGTTAACCACCTGCTCACTTTCAAAATTCTCTGAGATAAGGTACATCTCCTTAATGCTGGCTCATAGGTGGCTTTTAGGGAATGAGTACATTAAACTTTAAATTGTAGATGAATAACTAGAAATCATGGGCTCTTAGTACTCTAAATATAGAATGTATTTTATGTCCTCTAGTTTACCTCTATCTTTTAATGCTATTTATGACAATGAACTAGTGAGTTTTGTTCTATCACTGAGCTTATTTTATATGTATTTCTAAAACTTCTATTACAAATATGATTCCTGTGGCTTAGATTAACAGTTTATTTGTCTCTGATGTTATTTTTTTAAAACTGGAAATGGAAATGAGTAAGAATTTTTGTGTGGTGTTTGGTTTTTTTTTTCCCCTTTTTTTCAGGAGAAGAGGTCAAGAATCCTCAGAAAGCCATACCCATAGGAATTGTGGTGTCCCTGCTTGTCTGCTTCATGGCCTATTTTGGGGTTTCAGCTGCACTGACCCTTATGATGCCATACTATCTACTAGATGAGAAAAGTCCTCTGCCAGTAGCATTTGAGTATGTTGGATGGGGTCCTGCAAAATATGTTGTAGCAGTGGGATCCCTCTGTGCTTTGTCTACAAGGTAAAGACATTGAAATACTAATTTTATTGGACAAAGCTGATGGATAATATGACATTTACATATATGTTCAGGCATTCATTGTGAAGGCTTAGTTCATGTAAAGGATTAGCAATAAGTATTATAAGTATGTTTTAGACTTAAGCAGGTCTTGATCACAGTAGGTGCATCAGTTTAAGTCCATTTTTTAAACCGTACTGTTACTGAACTCTACTTCTTTGGCTTATTACCCAAAAGTGGATTTTTTAATGAAAATATGTATTTTCAGACATATGACCTGCAAGTTATCTTTATTAACTGATAACATAAACCTCACCCATTTTGTCCTTTTTTGCTGTCCACTCCGAGTGACTCAGCAGCTTTATGGGCTCTGTGTATTTGCAGGCAAAATTGAAGAGATGATTAACTAGCTCCACTCCTCATCTTGGTTGCCTGTCTCTGTTTTCCTCCAGTAGCCAGTCTGTCTTCTGACATCATCCCTTCCTGTGGTTTCTGTGTGGGTATTTGAGATGTAGAGTATAGCTGTGAAAATATATTATACTTGTGAATCTGTGGATGTAACCTGAACTTAATGTGTTATTTTTATTATAAATATCAGGAAGGGCATGAGATATATTAGCATGTGTTCATATGTATTACACTCAAAATGTAATGTGGTATATAGAATAGAAAATTGCTTGATAATTGAATTTAGGAATAGAAAATGCTGATGTCAGTCTTTTACCTGAGCTTATTTATGTGAGGAGTTATTTATGTGAGCTTCAGTGGTAAGAATATTGGCTGCCTTTCCATAAAAGAAAACATGCAAACACTAATGCCAACAACACTCTGAGACAACCCCGTAAGCGCTAGCCTGAAGAAGATAAGCATGCTGACTGTGGACAATGGTTTAAAGGAAAGCAACATTTTTTATGCAGGAGGGGATAGAAAAAGGAAATAATTTCAGAATGACGTTAAAAGAATTGTAGAGTGGACTGAAGAATGTCATAATGACAGAGTTCAGTTATATTCTATCTACTTGTCATGGTCCCCTCAGTTTGGAGGGTTTTACTGAATATTTCCTCTACATTGATAAATAGTAAAGTGATATGTAAGCAGAAGGTAGATTAAAGAAATCAATACTGGAAAACAAAATGAACTGAGATGGTAAAACACTGTTGGTCTCCTTTTCCAGTGTGTTCTGAAGAATTATTTTTACTCCTGTGGGGAGGTTAATCTTTTAATCTGTTGACTGATGTCAGTTTAGAGCAAAACAAAGGAAATTATATTTCATATTCCTCAATTCAGATGTATAATTAAGAAAAAGTTGGGATCATTGCTTTTGGTCTATGTTGTTACCTTTTACTATGTTATGTCATAAACTTGTTTCTTCAGGGTAAAGATGTTAATATTTCCATTATTTATGTGAATGTGCTTAAAGAGGAGTAGGATAAATACATTTTACAAAGCCACAACAGTGAAAAATTTGGCAATGTATTTTAACAGTATCCTCATTTAAAAAAATCAATTGTCATCCCGATTCAGGAAAGATTCTTTTTTAGGAGGGATATTCATACATCAAAATCAGTCCATGTGCAATGAAACTTCTGTCACGGGTATCTAACCTTAAAGCTTGTGTCTCACGAGCATTACTGGAGGTACTTAGCGTCTGTGGTATGTAACAGTTGTGCCTTCTGTAAGAGATACAGTCAATTCCCTAAAGTACGAAAGGCAACCATTCGCCTGGTTAAAAACTACTATGCTTGCTGCTGAGGTTGTACTGGCTATGATTTTCCTTTTGTCCTTCCAATGTTTTTGGTTTTCCTAATTACAATCATTTTGCTTAGAGGGAAAGAAACCACCTAATCTAAGAAGTATGTTTAAAAAGCACTTTGAGTTATCAAAAGTTTAAAAGCTTTCTGTGTTCTGCTAATAGCAAACCTAAATTAATTGGCTTTGATTCTTCAAAAACAAAGAAAAAAAGAAACAATCTTAATGAAGCTTGGCTAGGGGTGCTTTAATTGAAAGAAATAATGTGCCCATGTATAACTTTATGGTGCTTTCTTTGAATTACTGTTAATCAGCAGCCTCACATGGAAATGTAGAGTGTAAAAAACGCTGCTAATGCTTATTGATTTGCTGCTGCTGACTGACAGACTTTCTCCAGGTATACTAAAGCTTAATTGCATAGTTAGTGTGAGCTGGATCATGTTCCTGCTCCACTAATACCCAAGAACTACAGTGATGGCAAGAGTTATTTTGCTAATCTGAACTCTTCCTGATGAAGTAATTCCATTACCTAAACTAATAAAATAAAATTAAAAAAAAAACACAACCAACTTTACAGGGAAAAAGAAATTTCTATTTGTGTCTGATCTGTAGTATCTTGGGCTATGGGGCTTTCTGGTTTTGTCTTACAATCATAAATTTTATTTCTATACATGCCATTAACATTGTTTATCTTGTCCATGATAAAACTCTGCATGAACTGTTTGCCATGTTGCATGTGTTTGCTTTTTACTCAGTCTTATTGGATCCATTTTCCCAATGCCACGAGTAATCTATGCTATGGCGAAGGATGGGTTGCTTTTCAAATGTCTAGCTCAAATCAATTCCAAAACGAAGACCCCACTAGTTGCTACTCTATCGTCTGGTGCAGTAGCAGGTGAGACTAAGAGTTGATCCTTGTAAAGAAAGGTGCACTGTTAAACATCTTACATATATGGAAATAAACCACTGTCGTGCAGCTTTGACTTGCTTTGGACTGAAATGATCAGATCTGATTGTTGCCAGGTAAAGTAGGCTACCAGTAAAACTATTCTCTACCACAGATTTTGTATTTGTAGGTTAATCTCAAGTGCTTTCAAAGCCTAGGTTCAAAACAAACATCCCAAACCCAAGAACATCAGTCAACCAAACAAGAGTAACAACACAGAGCCTAAACCAAAACTATACGTAACCCATTAACTCTTCCAAGCTTTCTTCTTGTATAGTTGGGTTCACCAATAAAGCATTGTGCTTTTAATAACCTGTATTTGAACTATACATTTTTCTGTTCTAGTCTTCTCGGCTCTATGTTCCCTTTGCCCCGAATTCTGTTTGCCATGGCACGTGATGGTTTACTCTTTAGTTTTCTTGCCAAAGTGAGTAAGAGGCAGGCACCAGTTTCTGCCACCTTGACAGCAGGGGTCATCTCTGGTAAGCTCTCAAAGCCCATGTTACTTAAAACTGAGATTTAAACACTCTATGCACGTGCATGGTACTTTATATTTTTGAAAAGGACTGCTTGTTAATTCCCCTTGCATGTACAACGGGAATAAAATCACTGAGTAATCAAAGGGTGTAAGAACTCCAGATCATGTCAATCATGGTGGTGGTGATGTCCTTAATGTCACAGAATTCAAAATTATTATTATTATTATTTTTATTAATATTGGCCTCTCGTATGGTGAATAAGCTGGTTACTTAATCTGGGTGCCTTAGGCTGATGCTCGACTTGCAGTATTTCCTTGTCTGATGTATACCTGTATATTCATCACATCTATAAGGGCAGAAAATAACTGTCATGTTTTCCATTACGAGACATGAGGAAAAAGAATCTACATTTGCAGCAGGATCAACTTTTTTGTAAATTGCGAAGACTTTTTTATTAAATTTTCCTCTGAAGCAAATGATTCTGGTTTTATATAGCTTACCAAATTGTGTTAAGGGGAGTGTGTGTGTGTGTGTGTTGGGGGGTTTTGCATGTATGCACATATATGTATACACATATATGCTCACATATCCTTTAGCAAAACAGCATTTAGGAGCTGTTGCAGCTCTTAATGTTTCACAAAATGAAATTCATAAGTTACAACCCTTTCACTTTTGTCTATACCTTCTTGCAGAGGTACGTGCTAGTGCACAAATTTGTCATTTTAGTGGGTTGTCTAATCACACAGGAAAACCAGAACCTCTAGAAGTATCTAACTCAAAGGCAAATAAGTCTTAAAAGTAATTTGAATATGAAATATGTGCCTTATAACATTTAGCAGCCCTGGCTAAAATTGACATCAAATAAGAGATTCAGAACTGAGACTAAAATACTATTATTTATAGTCAGGGTCTTCCTCAGATGCCACAAGACTGGAACTGCTCACACCACATACTTGACAATTATGTGGGAAGGCACAGTTGTTGTCTGGGTAGTTTCCACATGAAGTGCTATTATCAGTTCCATTTTCTTTGGCCATTCTACAGACAAATCGCTTAGAATTACTTTCATTGTTTTGACTTTATATTATTTGACTTTATAATATTGGCATATTCCCCTACAGTAATTTGGAAGTGCAGTTATGCTGGATGAAATGAACATCTTCACCTGAAACCACAGTAATGATGGGGAAAAAGAAAAACATATTATCCAGCTAGTAAACTGATTGCTATAGTTATACAGCCCTGACTATAGCTATGCAGCAGCTGTCACTTAGGCTGCTTTTAGACACTGTGGGGAATTTGGTGTGTCAACAGCTCACCTGAAGACACCTTTATTTACTGCTGGAGAATGAGTAATTTCTTCTATTTTTAACAATCTGCACATTTAGTAACTTGTGGTTGTCAGTAGTTCTGCTAGGATAGTTATAGAAGCACGCAACTGCTTGTATTATCTGACTATAAATTCGTAGCATGGATAGTTTCATAGCTTTAAGAAATGTTAAGGAGATTAGATGTTTGGCCCCTTAATTAAAGTTATCAGGTCAAGACTACAGCTGAGGCAATTGTCACCCCTTATTACTGTGACTTATCTTTTCACAGGTGGTAACTGTGATTGTCAAACTGTTTCTGAAATGTTTTGGTGACAGTCCAAGTTTTCAGCATAAATTGACCTGCCATTGCTTCTTGGAGCGGAATTAAGAGAGTTGGAAAAATGATATTGTGTCTTTTTTATCTTTGTCAGAAGCTTAAAAGCATTTTCATTTTGGTTCCAATGTGAACGAATATTCTGGGCTACAAAGTAGCTTTTTAAAGCTAGGATTAAAAATTAAATATAGCCACAATACATGAGATTCTAGTAGGTTCTGTTCTTCTTCAGTTTTGCGTACCTATACCTTTGAGCATGCAGAGCAGTGAGCCATTCAGAAATCTACCCCATTAAATGACTTCTTGGATTTAGGAATATCCACTGTCATTAAAGAAAGCAGGATGGTCTTCCTTCCTTCATTGGAAAAGGAGACTCACAGGTGAAATAAAACTTCTGTAACAAAACAATCTTGTTTTAAGAAAAATCACATTTTGCTTTCTCCTTCAGGATCAAATACCAGGGGAATGTATGTTTATGTGGTTGTGCTTTTACACACCTGTCTACAAATATACTGACAAACACGTACAGTAAATATTTTATATAAGTGTTTCTCAATATAGAAAAAAATGTATGTGCATATATATATATATGGTGTATAAAGGCTTCATTTAATAGTTTCTTTTAATGTTGAGATTACTGATGATTCCCAAGATCAAGTGGTTTTAGATTCTTTCTGCTTCTCAATAATGTTAAAAAAATACAAATATTTTAAGAGATGCTTTGACCATACATATTTAAAGTCAAATAGCATTAGCCTTTCATTAAGTGATGTCTGGTCCTAATTTCTTCATAAGCTATATGTGTCTGTGTGCAAACAGCACAGACAAAAAAAAATACATTCCAGAATCTCCAAAAGAATGTAGCTTTTATAAACACAAAGTCTGCTATCAGTGCTCTCAGCATCATGGAAGTTTCTGCCTCTGATTTTAGTGATCTTAAGAATATTAATTCTTGTGAGATTTTGCTGGCCTTTCCTAAAAGCCTAAAAGTACTTCACTTTTTAAAAAAGTAAAATAATAAATTTAAAAAACCCTAGAAAACTATTTCATTTGAGACAAATCCTGAAAGTCCTCTTTATATAGAGCTCTTCCTCAGCTCAGCAGAAATTTTACATACCAGTGACTTACTGGGTTGGATCATTTTTCCCAAATTTTGCAGTGAGTTCCATCCTCTCAGTTTTGGTGACATCCTGTTGCAGAAGCTGAACCTTATTCTATAAAAATATATTTTTAACATGGCCCCAATTCAACAAGCCATGTGTGCAAATACTTATATCCAAATAAATCCAATATAAATCACATGATTATGCAACAGGACTGTGTGGCTCCTCCATGCATATCTACATGAATGAGATTCCCAGATGTAGGGAATTAGATTTGTTGGAAATTACTCCAAAAATGTGTTTTAAAGGATTACCATGATTTCACTCATATTACTGTCAGTAAACAACGTAAAGTTACACTGCGGACAGATTTTAAAATCTTAGCTCTTTAATATTAATCCTAGCACTTACAGTTGGACTCAATGATCTTAAAGTTCTTTTCCAACCTAAATGATTCTATGATTCTATGTCAGCCTCATACAAATTTTGCATTTTCTTTTCTCTTTTAGCTATAATGGCATTTCTGTTTGACCTAAAGGCTTTAGTGGACATGATGTCTATTGGTACACTTCTTGCTTATTCACTTGTGGCAACCTGTGTCCTCATTCTTAGGTGAGCCAAAAACATCCTTTGTTTTCCACGGTATTTTATTTCATGTTGGTCAGTATATGAACAGAAGTGACATTTACGGGGTATTTTTTCTTGCTAGCTAGCTAAATGTTTAAAAACTAGCTGTATGCATATACATGATTACTAAGAAGCAATGACTGATCTAAGAAAACAATGATGTATTGTCGTATCAGTACAGCAGTTAGTCAAGTCAAAGCTTCCTGTGAAATCTAGACACCTTTTATTTTCCACATTTATTGGTCCAAGAATGTAGTCCCAGTGGTACCAGATGTGCTTTTGTGTATGAAATTCCATAAATAATATTTTCATATGAGTAAAATCTGTGCTGTTGATCAGAGCTATTACATTATGGGGAGTACATGTGAAAGGTGGAGATTTCCTAGATAGCTCACAGGACGAACAACTACAAATAATTGCTTTGAATTACCCTAGTCAGAAACGTGAGACCAGACAAGTGTTTCAAGATGTGGTAGCCCTAGAAGAGAGTGCGAATATGATCTCTCAGTGAGATACTGCAGTTAAAGCTACAGTATATTGAAATACTGGCAGCTACAGCTCACTTTGTTATGTATTGGTCTTTTAAAAAATCAGTCTTCATTACTTCATGCTAGGTAGTTACCTTTCAAAAGTAAAATAACTTAAATTCAGTTCAAATTCATTGCTGCAATAATTTACACTTCAGGAGAGAAGACTCTTTTATCCAACAGTGACTTACTTAACATATATATTTATAAAAAATGCACTTAAATTCTAACAAAACAGATGTAAAATTTCAATTTAGGCCAGTTAGTAGACCTCTTGCAGTATGGGAAGCAAGTTAGAAAGAAGCTTCTCTACCCTTTCCCTGCTATTGAGCACCAGATCCTGTCCCCTCTTTCTGTATGAGACTGATAATTTATCTGACCCATTGGTGCATTCATGTAGTTTAAAAAACTGCCCAAAAAAATCCCCAACAAACTCAGCAAAAAAGTGAGTTGCCCTAGTTTGTTTATATATGATAGCAACTAATAATATATACGGTTGCAGTGCAGTTATAAATTGGGAAAATCTAAATCTCCATTGCAAAGAATTTAGTATTTAAATACATTCCTAGCATCATATTGCTTCAGATCCCAAAGTAATCTTATTGGGTTTTTTGTCCTGTTTTATGTTTAGGTACCAACCCAGTTTAACCTATGAGGAACCAAAATATTCTCCAGAAAAAGCAGCTTTGGCTGCATCTGAAAGGGAATCTGCAATAAGTGAATCACAGATAAATATGATACAAGATAATCACTTCAGTCTTCAGACCCTGATTAATCCATCCAGATTACCTACTGATCTGACTTCAACTACTGTGAAGTTTTTAGTGAGTCTCTTAGGTAAGTGTTCATAAAACGCATTCAAAAAGCTCGTAAAATGCATTATCATAAATAATTGAGTTTTATTAAAGACAATTAAAAATCCAATGATAACATGCCTTCTTTCAGTGATAATTAAAAGCATTCTGCAGAATGACCCATTGTGTTTCTTGATGGATCTAATCTGTAGTCTAGTGTATTTTCCTTTAATTAAACATTTTCATTGTAACAGTTTCATACTGAAGACCTGCCATCATTCTTCTTAGAAGTCACTTCCTCTTCAATGCAGAGATTAAGTGACCCATTTCCTTAATTTCGTTTTTCACACAGCTTGCTTGGTTTGTGGCTTGAGTGTCCTCACTACATACGGGATTAACTACATTGCTAACTTGGAGCCCTGGAGTATTGGCCTTCTTGCTGTGTTGGTGGCGTTTTTCATCATTACCATTCTCCTCATCCACAGGCAGCCTCAGAACCAGCAGAAAGTGGCCTTTATGGTGAAAAACATTCTTGATGCTATTTTCTAATGAGAGGTTTGGATGGATTCTAGCAAGTGGGAGGGGGTCAGAAAGAGATGGTCCTTTTCCAGGCAGTCTTTCATTACTGCACTGCCAGTCTTGCAGGTGTTTGTTCAACGTGCACATTGCTGAGACCCGCCTAATTTTAGATCTCAGATTAAGCACTTAAAAACTGGAAAGCGATTCAGAAACTGATTAGTGCACAACCACCTGCCCGTGCTGTGTGCGACACTTTGGACCACGGTACAGTTTGTAGCTCCCAGAATATAATCCTTTAATTTTGAGCTTTCACTTACATTCTAAGATCAGTTATTTAATAGAAATAATGAAACCTGGTGATGAAGGTCAAGGAACCCAGTGGAGTTGGAGGGACATTTCAGAAAGGAGGGACATATATAAATACATAATATTTTTCAACTGTAGATACAGGAATTCATTAGTATATGTTCAGCACAAACCGCAAAGTTTTTCTAAACAACCTTAGAGAATATATATTAAACATAATTTATTTTAAAAGTTTAAGAAATTAGAAAGTAGTGGTTAAACCCAGTGAAAAAGAAAATTTCACTATATTCCAATTTTTTAAAAAATCAATTATTTTAGTGATTAGACATATCACTTCTAGTTTGTGTTGTATAACTGAAGTGTGACATGCAAGAAGTTAAGTTTAATACAAACATATTAAATACATCCTTTTAGGTTCCATTCTTGCCATTTTTGCCATCTTTCAGTATCCTGGTAAATATTTACTTAATGGTACAATTAAGTGCAGACACTTGGATCAGATTTAGCATCTGGATGGTACTTGGTAAGTACTTTTGTTCATTTCAGTCACCTCTGATGCTAGGATTCATGAATCCCGTATTATAAAATCTGATTCTCTTCTTTTAAATATTTTTTTAAAGTCTGTGTTTTCATAAAAGTCAGCTGATATTTCTGATCATAACAGAAGCATGCTTCAGAAGCAGTATTTATATGCAGTCAAAATTGTAAATGCAGTTTTGAGGTAATAGAGTTATAGGACTAATTCAATAAGCCACTTTTTTTTTTTTTTTCTGAATAGGTAGAGCTAAAATTGTGCAGATACCTGTTTGTAACAGTTTTTTCCCCAGTATATCAGTGATTCTCTTTAAGATATGGAAAACCGTATTGATACCATCTACACACAAAGAGTAGTTTCCACGATCTGTTAGAGCATTTAATTATGCAAAAATGATGCACTGGAATTTCCGTAGAACCAGGGAAGACTCAAAGCATAAGCTCTGATAGAGATACCTGAAGAAGAAACTTGTTTTGGAAAACATGTTCAGACACAGAGTAATGTCTTTTTAATGCATTACTTGCCTGAAAACGCTATTAACTTCTTTTGCTTCCCCTTTTGGAAGGCTTCCTCATTTACTTTGCTTATGGCATCAGACACAGTCTTGAAGGTCATCGCAGCAACAGAGATGATGATTCTTGTTCAGAAAATAGTGAGTTGCAAGAAAAGAAGCCCGTGGAAGAGGTGGATGAACCTGAAAATGCAAATGAAAGTGATCAATTTCTTGCACATGAGAGGACAAGTGAATGCTAATCCAGGCAAACATACAAGTCTTTTAAACCTTTAGTTGACACTTTACTTGCAGACTGAAATTTCAGAAGCTTTCTGACAACATTGTGCCTCTTGAAAGTGTTTACTACAAGGCCTGGCTGATATTTTGGAAAAGCTGCTAATCCATTTTCATCATTTCAGAACTGACAGCATGGAGATTAATATTTAAATTAAAAACCCAAACAAGACAAGTACCCTTTGGCAAGGAAAAATTTGGATGCATTGTTTGAACCGTCATCCAAATTCAGTGGCAATCACAAAATAGGATATGTTTTAGAACTGCCTGCAGTAAGTTCTGAATATTTGACACTGCATTGTGAACACATTTTGTACCTTTTCCTTATGTCTGTTACATTTTTATCAAAATCTAATAGCTCCCTTCTTTCTACAGAAGTAACTCTTGTGGGAGTTAAACTGCAGACAGGCCTAGAAAGTATTTGCAGAATGAATGGTAATTGTACAGATCTGATACTTTGCAAAAAGTAGGGGACCGTAAATGTATGTAAAAAATATAACTGCTTACCTTTAGTAATCAGTAGTGATTGAGAACTCAAACTGTAGAGATACTTCAAAGGCTTTTAGCACCTCTAAATAGATTTCTACTTATGGAAGTATTATTTCTACTTATGTGAGTTCCTTTCCTTTCAGAGACGCTGTGTGTATAAAATAATACTCCCAAGAGGAGCTACATTGTTTTCTGCAAAAGCATCTGGGAAATAATCTGTTGGTTACAGTATTGACAGTGATGTTTGTATGTGATTTAGCAGGTATTGTGCTTTAGATTTCAAAAAGGCCAGAATTTTATCCCTGACTACAGAATTTGCTACTTACATACAGCAGTCATCAAGTTTTCCTCCTTACTACTCGTTTATTTCCCCTATATTTTGTTCTTCTTTATCATGTGCCAGAGCTCATACTTCTAGAAGTGGTTGTTACACATCACTTCTCCTCAGAACAATTAATGCGTGAAATTCCAGTCTTCTTTTCAAATGGAAAGGGAGGTTAAAAAACCACAGGCCCAGCCTCTGTAAAAAATCCTCATCAAAACAGTATTTCAGTGCTTCACTAAGCCTTAAACATATGTTAGCACAGCAGTTTTTCATGAGCCAAGCCTACATCCACAAATCCATTCATGTGGGTAAGATGTCCAAATGCTAATTTTTGTAAAGAGCCACATTGTTGCAGCAGTGCTGGGCAAACAATTATTTTAAAGCTGGTGAAAACTGAAACTGTTCTTCTTTCAATGTAAAAGTCGTATTACCTGTCAAAGACACATAGATTTTTTTAATCCGTGAAGGATTCCACAATATGAAGCTATTTTGCAAGAATGTCTAAAACAGTGAGAGTCGTCTTGGATTTTGTCATGGAGAGTTGCAATCTATTGCCGCTACTAATCATTAGTATTAATCTCTATTGTTAGGTATAAAAATTTTAGGTGCCTTGACAGCTATGTTGATCGACAGTGAAAAGCACCTTTTTATAATAGCTGGAATTTCACAGCAGGAAAAAAAAAGGAAGTAGTTAAGCTGCTTCTATCTCTCTCCTTTTTTCACAGCAATAAATTCATGCTTTTTAATCTTAAAACAACTTCTGTTGTAAGAGAGTAGCGTGCCTAAATGTCGAAGGGCAGGAGAAGCAACACTTCATAGAGAACCCTGCAATGGTAGCCCACCATGGACCAGGTCTGAGGTTTTCAGCCGGATGCCTTGAACCAGTGGACGGATATGTGCTGCTGCACCAGTGGCCTCTATGGGATACTCAGAATTGTGAGTTGTAATCTGAAAGGTGAGAGGCATGCGATAGGTAAAACACCTACCTCTTACCTGATGTTCCAGCTTAGACATCATGGAACCAGAGAATGGCCTAGGCTGGAAAGGACCTTAGTCCAACCTCCCTGTCATGGGCAGGGACGCCTCTCAACTAGATCAGGCTACTCAAGGCTCCGTCCAACTTGGCCTTGAACCCCTCCACGGAGGGGCAGCCACAACATCTCTGGGCAATTTATTCCAAAGTCTTGCCACCCTCGTACTGAAGAATTTCGTCCTAAGATCCAATCTAAATCTATTCTCCTTCAACTTAAACCCATTTCCCCTTGTCCTGTCGCTGGACGCTCTTGTAAAAAGTCCCTCCCCAGCCTTCCTGTAGGTTCCCTTCAGGTATTGGACTCACTGCAACTGCTGTTGTCCTAGCGATTGGTGGTCCTTAAAAATCAATGGAACACAAAGGATGAGGAGAAGCTATAGGGTAGATAGAAATGGGATTCTGCTTTTTTAATATATCCTAATCCATCCAGAAATCATGAGACATTACAGCCACTTCTTTCCCAAATTCAACACTGGCTTACAAATGCTGTTAAAGACAGACTCAAAGCTCAGACTAATAAATATTTGGGGATAGGAATTCGCAGAGCCGTTACTAGAGTTACTGATAATTTTCAATCCATCTGCTCGGTGAATGAAAGAGCTGTCTTACGTCAGTTGGATCTGATGTTTTAATTGTATTTCTCAACTGGGGCCCACTTCTATGCCAAAAATGACAGAAGAACTATATGTTCTTGTTTGAAATATTAGAAATTTAAGACTTTCCTCTACAACTCTGTCAAGAGCACATCTTCTTGAGTAGTTTTACTTTCAGAAGCCACTCTTAACCTGTCTTGCCCTGTACTCTTAAATCCTCAGCTGCAAAAAATGCCATTGCCATAGGAGCAAGTCAACAGTGCTCAGGTATGGCTTTTTCCTGATGTCTTTGTGATCCTACAGTGAAATACAGCTCTTTTAGAATTCCTGACACATTTTGGTGTGTGGGAAGCAGAGACTTATTTTTCCCTATGGCTGCTGATGTGGTAGAGCAGGCGAGCCAGGCTCCCAAGGTGCAAACTGCTGCTGTTCTGTGATGCTCAAGGAGAACCGTATTCCTTCTGAAGGCCGTCACATAGAATGTATGTGTGCACACTGATGTCTGTATTTGCATCTGTCTGACATTAGCCCATAGTGATTTTGATGTACTAGGTAAAATAATTTCTATACTGCACTGGAATTCTCCTTCAAAGGGATACTGTCAATACAATAAACTTCTGACTAGAGCAAGTGCTAGCTAAGGCTTCTGGAGAGAATTAAAGAAAATAAATTGTCTAGGTTATTTACCTAATGAATGTGTCAGATCTTTGGATACTGACAGCTTCCCCTTTAACTTGTGTGAATATCAACACCTCCCCATTAAATTAATTATATAAGAATAAAAGAATGTGCCTGTACAAATGTTGCTAAGGGAGATGCAAGCAGCTGCAGCACAGGAACTATCTGCTTAACTATGTGATGTAAAATTAAATTAAAGGAGTCATTGGGTACTCTCGGCTGCTTCAACTCCACAAAACTTATTTATATGTGTGTAAAGTCATTATTAGTCAGTGGTTGAGTAAGAACACAAGCCAGAAGTAAGATATGCTAATTTTGGTATGTATTTTTATGTGTAGTCTTGAAATTCCGATGCTTTAGTGGGACTTTGCAGGAGCAGAGGACATGCCATGCTCATCCTTCCATGGGAGCTGTATATGAAACAAATCCTGATTTTGTTCTCATGTTTGCTGTATGTCTGTATTTGCTGAGAGAGGAGTTGAAAGCACAAGTCCAGTGAAATTAAACAATTGTTGTTATTTTTTAACTTGGTTGTTGATATTGTAAATTGTTCTGTGCCAATAATATTAGTATGTGTTAATACACATTATATATTATTGGAGGTAGTTTACTGGTTTTTTTGTTCCTTTGTAGAAAAAAATCCTCCAAAAACTTTATTTGCATTGGTACATTCCAGATATGCCTTTAGATAGAGGAATTATTCTTACCTAGTTGGACTTAAGAAAGTAAGCCAAATAATATTTAAGGGAGAACAAATAAATCTTTTTGTTTGAATAAGAGTTATAAAATACTTCTGTATTATCTGAAGTGACCTGCTTGTGGTATTCCAGTTCTAATTCTGCAATAGGAAATTTTAGGAGATATCTTAGATTTCACTGTCTATTATCCTGGATACAACTATTCTGTTAATAATAGTACCCTTTTTCCTGCACAACAAATGCTGGTTAGATTCCTGAAATCTGTAATAATAGGTTTATGTCACCATGTGTTAGAGCCATTTATATTACCTGCTGCTAGAGAATTATCAGTAATAAATGTCAATAGTAGTGAGAGAAGGGTTACTTATGTACTTAGGAATTTAACTGTGCCATCCAGAACTTCAAATGATACAACTAGTTTAGAGGCAAAACTTGGTAAAGCTTAAATATATATACTGTATTTTATTAGATAACTGTACAAGACTAGCCACCTTTCCCCTAAACTTTATGCAAAGACATATATATTTTGAAGAAATAAAAGTCATACTGTTTTCGTGGAGGTTTTACTAAGTGCCAAGATGAGATGTGCCATAAGCATCCCGAGAGACTGAAAGCTGAACAACCTGGGTGAAAACCGTGACAGTGCAGGAAATCTGTGTGGGACTGTGCAATCGTTTTAATCAGGCGTGATGCCTTTGACATTGGGCTGTGTTTTGTGCAGTAGGGATTTAATTCACATGATGGCTGGCATGTGTTACTTGATCACATAAAAAAAGAAAAGAAAAGCACCTTTTAATGCTCCTGGACCCAAATCCTTCTTAGGCTTGCCAGGAAGTGTGTACAAACTGCAGTATGCTCATTAAAAGCACTGCGATTACTCAGTTAGGCAAATGTGTATTTTACAGAAAGAGCAAGTGATATTTTGTATAGTGTAGGATCTTTGTATTTGTTTTTAACTTCCTGTACCTTTAGTATTTCTTTCTGGTATATGTTTTGAGGACCTCTGCATTTTTACTAGTTGGACCTTTCCAAATCTAAATATAATGCCCTTACCATCTCCTGATCTGTTTTACATTTGATTTTAGAAATCAAACTCCTTAAAGTTAGTGAAGTTGAAGGATTTCTGTGCATAGACATGCATTGCAAAGAA